GAGCCCACACATTGGGGGTGGAGAAAGACAAAGACCATTTTATTTCCGATAATAATCACACAAACGCCAGCTCCTAATGACGTTTTGCGACAGGTATGCAATGATATATCATTAGTGTTTAGTCAAAATAAAGGCAAATTCTTGGTCACGTTAGTTAGTTAAATATTAAATTTTCTTCCTCACAGATTTTCTGCTCCTGTCGTAAAAATTGTCAAACAAAACAATGCACGTGCAAAAAAGCAGGTTTGATGTGTACACGTATGTGTAAAAATTGCAACGGAGACAATTGTGAAAATGGTTCCACCACGAGACCAGTAATTGATGAAGACTCTTTCGATGATGTGATTAATGACGTTGTCGACATGCAAGAGGAAACGACGGAAGAAGGTCATGTGGGGTACCATACTCAGTCCTCCCTCAATATGTATACTCCAGATAGTAGCATTTATGATTTTTGCGAATAAATAAATTTTGTTTACTATCAATTTAATATTTATTTTTGATCGTATGCTTCACAATAAGTTGTTCTCTATTTCTTTTCATTGGAAAATGTCATTCAAAAATCATTTCTCAGAGACTTTTTTATTTAACCATTATCAGTTTTTTTTTGGGACTTTGAAATTGTGTCGCAATTCAAATATAAAAAGCCGATCCATTGTGTGTTCAACTGTTCGCCCCTCTCTTGCCCCTCCGCACAGCTATGCAATACATAACATATTTTCTACAACGAAATAAAATTTTAAAACCAATAAAATAAGAAAAATAAGATTTTAATTTGGAAAAAAATGTTACTGGAGACTATGTTTATTCGCTAGGAAATCGTAGATAATGTATAAAAAACATCATGTCTGGAGAACAAATTTTTTTTCCCCGTATTAATGTTATTAGGACTTAGAAAAATTTTCGGGCCAAAAGCTGAAGTGGATATTTCAGCCGGAAGGCGATCGAGTGCGTCGCAGCTACTAGAGCTACATATATATAGCACCGGCTCTCTCCTCTCTCCTCGTGCCTGCAATCGTCTGCTAGTGTGATCTCTCACTCTGTCTCACTCACTCTCATAGGTACGTGCCAAAATACTTTCAGAATTTTTTAACTCGAAATTTTGCGCTGGTCAAAAAAAAAATGAAAGACCAAATCGATAGAGAATTTTCCGCTCTACACGCTGATATTTTTATTTACATCCTATCTCTTACCATTTACGCGAAATTTGCAAAATAAACTTTTAGCCGCTATTTTACATAGTTTGACTAAGAATCTACGTTTTTTACTATTTTTCCCGTAATCTACGAGTTCGATTGCATATAATATCAAAAATGACCCTTTGGATATCAACTTTTAGGTTGAACAGATTTTTGACTGGTCTATGGTGAGAGTGTAAGCGAAAAACAAATAAATGAATCACGATGGGGTATGCAGACGAATGAAAGTCCAGGAAAAGGCACGGGATTAAACAAAAATATCAAAGCGATACGTGGTGAATCAATCGATAACTTCCAAGCCAAAGTTAGACTAGATGTCAAGCGCTGAGACTTTAAAGGTAAGCTGTGCAACAGAATAGATGTTTGGGAATCTGATACTACCACCGATCAACCTCCGAGCGATCCGACGGAAAGTACGAATAATGTTACAAACACACCTCGATAGCCCTTGAAGAGAGAATGGGTTCAAGAGATAGAGATGAATATATTAGCGAGAAGGATACTCCGCGCGATTCACCACAGATAAATAAAAGCCCATCGTGGAATGAAAGAACAATAAAAGAGGTAATAAGCGATTACACTGATAAAGGTAATAAGGGTGAAAATAAAACAGGAGGCGGAAATATTACCAAACGTTGTTCAGAACAAAACTGCAGGGAGCCGAATGAAAATTCAAAACTTACAGAGGAGCTCCTGGTAAAAATACCAGGCAACTGCTTATTTGACTCACTTATCTTTTTCTGTGACTTGAAATTGTCAGTAAGGTAGAAATTTTGTATGATATACTGAATGCCCTTAATGATTTAAAAAAGCATTCATAAAAAATACAAGCACCAGTCATCAGGTAAGCCAAAGCGCATTTGACCAACTTTATTAGTTAATAAACTGTTATATATAACAGATATCGTGTATAGGTGACAACTTGTTATAAGTTCAGACTTTTTTACAAATGCAACCTGATTACTGAAATCTATAAATTAATAGTACAATTGCTAGTTTTTATACGGTAGGAAGGGCGGCAATTCTCTCAATATTTAATTTTATTACTTCAACGAGTCTTGTATCTGTTATAAATTTTTCCAGTATTTGGCACAAATAATTTTTTTACTGCAGTGATCTAATAACATTATTAATCTTTTCCACGCATTCCTCTTTTTTCTTGGTGATAGATGATTCTGCATCAACAAATTGCTGTCGACCAATTTTTCCAGGTACAAGTTTGTCAATATACATTGACTGTTGTTGGTTGTATAACTCTTTGAGTAACTTGTCATGCTTTTGAAGATCTTGTATCCGTTCATATACATCTCCAGACTCTCCTTTCAACTTTTGAGCTGCTTGAAAAACAATTTAGAGATTAACTTTTATTTTACTATTATTTTTTTACTATGTATTATTTAAATTTGAAATCTGTTATTTTACCCAATTCTAAAATAGAAGTAGTGGCATTTTTATATTCTTGCGTGATACTTTTGACTTGAGAAAGGTAAGAATTGACATCTTTATTACTTTTTAGATTATTAAGTAATTCGTCAAGTAAATTGTAAGATGAAACGCGACGATCTTGTGCAGCTAAAACTTTTTCACACTGTCCAGCAACTCTTAATTTGCTTTCAGAAATTTCATCCTTATCAATTGAAAAGTCCAAGCGCACATATAAAATAACAAGCAGGAACAAAAAATAAAGAGCAACAGCAACTAGAAGAGGTTCCTGTAACATTAAAAATTTGGGAAACTTATATTTGAGTCTGAAGTTTTGAATGTGGTTTTCGACCAGATTTTTTTTGGAAACAGAAACTACTGGGCGCCCTGTGGTATCTAAATAAGTGTAATGAAGAGAGTCAGGTAAGCGAGTAGCATTATAAGGAAGTTCCAACTTAATAGCATGTGATCCTTCAGGCAAAATAATCTTTAAAGTCATATCCTCAACAACCATATCGTCATAGATATGATCTAGTAGCCTCAGTTCTAAAACGTAATCATCGTGAGAGTTGTACAAGTATTCGTAACTAGGTACATTGTATCCAATTGTGTAACGAGTTTTCCAGCCTCCAAAAAGTGGGAAACGCGGCCGCAAATTTAGTTCAACTGAATCTTTTTTAATTCTTGTATGGGAAGTCGAGATATTACCAATTTCATCTCTATAATAAATGTCAGAAGCAGCTGCTGGCAAAATCGTGTCAAAGCTTTGAATGCTGGGCTGCAGATTTTTAGATTCCCTTGTAAACTCATATCTTGAAAAGGAACCTAGAATTATCAAGTAAAGTTTTGAGTTATCAACATTTAAGTGTTTCAACATAAAAATAACATTAATATACTGAGACTGCCATATACTTTTTATTGAAGGTAATGCTATTTAAATATGAACATTAAGCTTTATTTCACCAAAAGTAAATAGAGGTGTAATCTTACCTTTAAGGACAGCTCCAGTGTGAAGAAGCTTAATCGTTTCTTCAATGGCAATATTACCCCAGTGAGAGACTTCAATAGATCTCTCAAGCTGAGTAATGGTAAGGAAACGGTGGTTATTCTCGAAATGAACAGCAAGTTCCTGGTGGGTATAAGGTGGCTTCATTTCAAATGGACCATACGTAATAGAAGTATCGCTCTGGCTAATTGGTTTGACAGCCTTTGTGTAGCTCTCGACATTTCGCGAGGGCAGCAGTAAAGTTGTCGTCTGTTTGGACACGAGATATGGTGAGAAAAGGTAGAGGTTACCATGCCACTTAACCAACTGCTTTTGCTTCTGGCTGATCTCTCTAGGATGAGGTATAAGCTCATGGCTAAACACGGTTTCAACTTCAACGGAAACAGAACGTTCGGGCTGAAGTGGATCGCGCAACCTTATGCTATAATAGAGCGCACCAGGTTGGGTCTCTGGCAGGTCAGGTAGGACACTCTCGCGTACCTGTAGTTTTGGACGGTTATGTTCACGAAGTGTAGCCCCAATGTAACTGAGGCTATCATGCTGAACAGCCTCTATGCTGAAGTAAAATTCGTGAATGGGGCTTTCACCGCTGTTTTCGAATACTAGTTTGCTGGTGATCTTAGTCAGCTGGGAGACAAGGTCGATAGTTCGTTCACTGTTCTTGATTCTCAGGCCAGGTTTGATGGATGTACTACTGCTGACTAGGTTACCGCGAAACAAAAACAGAAGTAGAGTCACCCCTAGGGCAACACGAGGAAAGCCACACATTCCGAGGGCCCAAAAAGCAATAGATAGCTATACAAGTTGCTTTTATTCTTATTATGTTATCTACATGGAAATAACAGTACGTAATTATAACAAATACAGCAATGTTGATGAGTTAACTTAAAATAATCATTATCAAAGGTACAATTTAGAATATAATAATAATAATACAGTATAAAGTAATAAAATAAAAGCCACATTCTTACCGATAGATGCACTTAATTGAATATGGATACCAATCACTATTTATCAACGTGGCGAAACTTGAATGCATAGACACATAAGAAATATAGACTGCTTATTGTTATGTACGGCGCTGAAGCCTGAAGCACAAGTGGAAAACACAGCATCGAACGTGGGTCGTGGGCATGATGTACAAATGCATAAGGGCTCGGGCACAGGGAACCGCGTAAAGCGTAAAGCGTATCGCGTATCGCGTAGAAGTAAGGTAGGTTAGGTATACGCCGGAGCTATTCACATAGACATTTTTTGCTTATTTCATTGTGAACGTTCAAATTGAAAAAGGGGTTCCACAGTTCCGCTAAACTCAAATTGAGTGAACAGACTGAACAGACCTATACTGTGTTCTCTGTCAGTCAACATTAGTTGCGACCATAGGGCATAGGCTTTGTTCCTTTGTTGCCTGATGGAAAAAGAGGTATAGGTCTGTTCAGTCTGTTCACTCAATTTGAGTTTAGCGGAAAAGTGGAACCCCCTTTTCAATTCAACGTTCACAATGAAATAAGCAAAAAATGTCTATGTGAATAGCTCCGCCACTTTGTGGTCACATAGAAAAGGCGTAAAAGCTTCGCGTATCGCGTAAGTGTGAAGTAGAGGGGAGTTGACCAATCTGCTGTCTTGTCAACAAAAAAAGCTTTTGAAGTTCTCAACGCAAGTGAATTCTAACCGGCGCAAATTTAAAAAAAAAAGTTTTCAAGTATATACTTCTTTTTATTTGAGAGCCGTTAATACATTTCATACAGCTTAATTATTACACTTCTCACTTTTTCTTTGCGATATTGGGTCATTGCATAGGTCGTATGGACTTTCCACAATTTGCCTAAAGTTCTTACGATTTATTTTTCATCCATGTCAGGAATTTGATTAATTATACAATTGATACTGTAATTGTTGTTGTTGACATTAGCTGCTGACAGGTTGCATACTTTATTTACGCTATACGCAAAAAAATTTGTCATCGCGCACATGAGTACAAAAATACGGGCGTAACTTTATTTTTGCCATGAGTGCGAGCGAGACAGCATGTTCAAAGCCAACGAAATACTCGTTGTGATTGGTTTAAAAAAACTTACGAGCGTATTTTTTACTCCCATAGCTCCGCAATAGACTGTCCACAATAGAGGGTGTATGGTGTATGGTGTAATCCGCAATCATCACCAGCAGTTAAATACGTGAGACGTGACAACGTTGTGTAACTGCTGGTGGTGATAGCGGATTACACCCAGAAACAGCCAATCAGAGCTATAGCAGACGTTTAAGCTATTGCGGACGATTGAGCTGTTGCGGGTTGCGAACGTTTTTATATTTTGGCATGCAACTGTCAGAAAGCTTTGAGGTTATGTAAAGTATTTACTTTGCTAAGAGAACGGGACCAAACCAAAAGTTATATATTAAAACCAGCTTCAGTATGTTTTGACGGATTTTTATTTTTTGAAAGGAGATGGGTTTATTTACATAAATGGTTGCCAAAGTTAGTATGGTCTTCTGTAGGATACTAATTTTCATGTCAGACATTTCATACTGAGCTCCAAAACATACCAAAAACAACAAACAATCACCGTTGATCAGCTGGTTATGTTATTCTATTTCGGAGACACAAAGTTCGCTATGGTCACATGTGCAGGAACGACCGATGCGTAACTCATTTACGCCCGTGAGTGCCAGTGAGAAAGAGATACTTCGAATCTCTCACTCACACTCGCAGGCCTACATAGGTTACGCATCGGTCTTTCCTGCACATGGGACCATAGCGAACTTTACCTCTCCGAAATAGCTCTGATTAGCTGTTTCTATTGCGGACAGTCTATCGCGGAGCTCTATTTTGTACAATGGGACTGCACCCTAAGTTATTCAGTCGTAGTATGGAATCTGGAATGTCGCCCATAATAAAATCAACAAATCTCAAATAACTTGTGTTATCAAATACATTAACATCTTCGGCGGTACTAGGAATGTACCTACTGACGATTCATTATGCAAGATGTTTCTCAATTTCGTTTTGTACTACGTGAATGATAACGTCTTCCCACTGAAAAAATAAATTGAGAGCGTTCATTTCAAATCAAACATTCTGTAGAAGTAAAAAATAGAGTTTCGTGTCCAGTTTGAGCAATAAAGTAATCACATCCTTAGAGTTTTTATCTACTTCCTCGGACAAATCTGCCAAAAAATTGTATCAAAGCCAGCCACTGTTTTACAATACGACTCGTGCTTTCTCTCAATGTTAACCAGCGCGTCTTACACTGTTGCAACAATTTATGCTGGGGAATACTGTCTGTTTGTAACAGAGAAAAATCGTGTAGTTTGTTGGAACTTTTCTTCATTTTTAAAACAGACTTTATCAATGGCATAATATGATTTGGTAATTGTTTCATAGCATATTGCACACACAAATGTCTACTATGTGCAGGACATTGTACAAAAATTATTCCTGGAATTTTTTCGTTCAATCGCATTTTCAATCTACTTTTTTCCCCCACCATAGTGGAACAGCCGTCCAAGCAAAATACTACAATATTATTTAACGGAATTTTGTGAGTTTCAAACGAATTAACTATACACTCCAATAGACGCTCGGCACTACTAGACGCTTTCTGCCCTTTCTGAAACACTGATGTTAAATCCCACGTACAACATTTAACTTCTCCATCTGTAATATATCTAACCACGATAGCCAAACATTTCGCCTTTATAACATCAGTGGACTCATCAACAGAAATTAAAAAAGGGTTTTTCCTCAACGTTTCGGTTAACAGCTGCTTTGCGTACTCTGCTATCGCTTCTACTGTCATATACTGTACGTGCTTTTGTCAGAGATTAATCTCTGGCTCCAGGCTATATACTGATAGCTCGAGCCACCAGGTACATCTAACTTTTTAATACTGAGTAAACAAATCATTGTTATCTTTAGAGGTATAATATGGTACGGCCTGTATGATAAGTGTTACCAGGTGAGTAAATGGACCGGTTATGGCAACCATATAATACGGCATTATTATACTGCCCGTGTACAGGCCGGAGGGTACATGCGTACAAAACGAACAGCTGTGTTTTAGGCTACGTTCATACGCAACGTCAATAGCAATCTGCAATCCATTCGAATGCACGGGTGCGAGAGAGACAAAGGATCATTCGTCCTCTCTCTCGTACTCACGCTTTCAAATAGATTGCAGATTGCTATTGACGTTGCGTCTGAACGCTACCCTATTCAGTAATGATTTGATACTCGAAGAAGTATTATCAGAGATTAGTAGAGAGATTGCTGACTGCAATGCTACGGCGCGAGTTCACTTTTGGCCACTGTTTCGAGCGCCCCGTCGCGGCCAAGCGGTCGAACCAGGCACACATATTTTTTTTTTTATTTGAGAAGCGTGGAGGGGGTATACCGAGTGTGTGCCTACAGATTCGCGTGGAAATGGGCATGTAGGCACATACTTCGGAGACGCGTGGAAGGGGTATACTGAATATGTGCCTACGGAGAGAGGAGTGGTGTGCATGGAAATGCCGACTACAGCTATATAACTATATATACCCGCGTATATCATAGCGAAAGAAAGCAACGAGTCTTTCTCGCTATATACTTATACTTACTAACTTCTTAAATAAGGTCTTAGAAATTAAGGGGAAATAGAGAAGAAAAAAAGATTTCACATCTAATATTTGTAAAATAAAAAAACCTATTTTAATTTACAATTCTCTATAACATATGAAAGTTTAAGAGAGGCTAGCCATATTATTTTTCGAAAATTAAATCATACAAATAAATGTTTACGCAATTGGAACCTCAGACTTTCAAGGCATTTATTTTTTAGTTCTTCTTATACTTTGGATTTTCGTTTAGTACTGCGTATCAAAGTACGTTGAAAAAATATTTAGCT